CGGGATACATGCGGGATACATAGGTAAATAAGGGATTTTTGAAAATTTTGAAATAAGTAGGGATAAATGGATATTAAGGTAAGTAAAGGAGTGTAGTTAAGTAATTTGTATTTCACCTTTTTTTCTTTTAATAAATTAAGGTACAGAAGAAGGGGATTTCCAACTGGCAATTGAACTACCAACAAGGTACCGACCGGGTTGTGGTGCAGTGGTGAAATTGTTTCATCCTTAATCAGAAGTCTCGAGTTCGAGCCTTGGGTATGAACAAAATTCTGTTGGGAGCACTTCCAAATGGACTCTGCACAATGCGATCTGAATTTAGTCGAGCTTCCATGTGGACTCTAAAACCGGATGGCAAACAAAAAAAAAAAAAAAAAAAACTACCAACAAGGTTAAAATTTAAATAACAGCAACCAACGTGAAAATTTACATACTCGAACTGCTAAATTTTTGAACGGTGCTTTTCAGTTAAGAAAACTGTTTTTTCCTTAATACAACTTGTTAATTGTTTAGCAATATCCTAATCTATAGCTTGGAAGCATGTATTGCCGGAGACTTTTGGCTTTACTTTCCTTTTTAATTCATTTTAATTAAATAATTATGTCTTTTTTTTTATAGTTATTTAATATTTACTTTACCTATGACATATTTAGAAACATTTTAATATATTTTACATATTTTTAGTTTAAGATAATAAAGTTTAAAGGTTTTTTTCTTCTTAAATTTCATGTCAAGTTAAAATCAAAAAAATAAATTAATATGAAGGGAGTAATTCTTATTTTGATTTTTAAAATTTTTAGATACAAAAAGCCTAGTGTGAGAAATATGAAGTTTTACATTCAAATTCAAATCTAGTGGATGTGGAATTAGTTAATGTGTGTGTAAGATAATCTGAATATCATCAAAATCCACGAGTCAACTAACAATAAGAGCTAATATGTAAAAGAATTTTATTTGAACGGCACAAAACTGTGATTTTAGAAAACAAAGAGTAAATTTACTAGAAGATCAAATTGTACCAATCTAACATGACTAAATGAATAATGGGGCGATATTATGTAATAATCAATTATAGATAATCAAAATACGATTATGTGTAAATATGTTTAAATATATTCCCTCTGTTTACTTTTACTCGTCATTATTTGACTTGTCACACTCATTAAGAAAATAATTATTGATACATGTATTTTATCAATCTATCCCTATTAAATGATGTTTAATATTAAGTCTTGGAAAATGATTTGGAGAATAGGTATTTAATGGTGAGGGTAAAACATGAAAAAATAATAATTGTCTTTTCTTGATATGTCAAAAGTGACAAGTAAAAATGAAAATTTATTTTAAGAATAAGTGACAAGTAAAAGTGTATAAAAACTGAATATGTGTTGACACAGTATTTCTATTAATGAAGGCAACAAAGTATTAAATAGAATTACGTGGAAAATAATAAGACTCCTAAACTAACTGAATTAAAGTAATCTAAACAAATAATTACTGCTGAACTAACTAATGCAATTCTAATACGAGCAAACTACTGATGTCTGAACTAACTCGTGATGTTCTAATAAAGTGAAGGCGTGACCTTTAATAGCGGATATTGAATTTAATGAATATGCATATTTTTCAATTCTTTTGCGTGTATAGTTGTTCTTTTTGCTTCAAGTCACCCTTAGGACAGGTGGTCCAGAATCTATACAGTTGACATATTTAGGTCCGAGGTGCTAAAATTTTAGCTTGCTTTTTGTATTATATTCGAGTTTTACTTTTTTGTAAAAAAAAAGTTAAAATATTATCATAACTATTTATATTTTTCGAAAAGAAAATATAATTTTCTTTCATATTTTATTATTCATTTCTCAAATAAAATGTTTGGAACTCTATAAATTGAACGCGCCTCTTCTCAGCCTCCACAATGTAATCAATAATTTTTGTTTTGTTTATGGGGAGATTTTCTCTCTATAGTTTATTCGATTTGAAATATATATGCCAATTGGCTAAATCATATAATAATATTATATTTTTAGTATAATTTTATGTTGATTTATCGTCTCTATGATTTATATTCGTAAGTATCCATATGATGCACTAATTTTTTCGAACCCAACACAAAGTGTCTTGTGCAGTAACGGCAAAATCATAAATTTCACTAAGATAAAATGTAATTTTTGACATATATTTTTTAATATACACGATATAATTTTCTGACGAGACCATTCATTTGGAAAGGAACAGATGATTAAACTACATCCTACCTAGGAACCTTTCTTTCTCTGTCTTAACATAATTTCTGGTAATGTCAGCCACAGTGCAGCAGCCAGCAAGAGCCATAGTCTGTTCCAATTCATTCTTGAGCATTTCAATAACTTGTTTTACCCCAGATTCTCCCTTAGCGGCCAGACCATAGATAACCGGTCGACCAATCTGTAGGAATATATAAAAAAAATAAAATTACGTTGTCCGTGTATATAACTTAAATTCATTTCTTTAAATCATTAAGTTTACCAGAACAGCTTTTGCGCCGAGTGCTAGAGCCTTGAATATGTCTGTTCCTCGTCTAATTCCTCCCTCAATAAGAACTGGAACTTTACCTTGAACTACATGGACCACCTAATTTAGGAGATTACAAGTTAATTATTCTCAAATTTTTAAGATTCAAAATAATACATTTCAGCTTTCAATTGAAAAGAACTTCAAAATGAGCTTGTATTTCAGATCTGAAATTTATGGGAATCACCTCTTCAAGAACAGAAATAGTAGCTGGAGTGTAATCCAGCTGCCGAGCTCCATGGTTAGAGACGATAATTCCTGCAACTCCTGCTTCAATTGCTTTCATTGCTGCAAAAATATTCAGTGTTTTCCATCAAACACATATATGGAATTTAGAGAGAAATTATTGGAATCATGTACAATGAGATATGGAGCTGATTAGAGTTTCTGTTGACTTGAGCTAAGGTTTATGATAAATATTATACCATCTTCACTAGTGAGAATGCCTTTTATCAGGATTGGCAACTTGGTAACTGACTTTAACCATGCTATTTCCTGCAAATTTCATCATATGATCTTTCTCAAGTGATAGTAAGGAACGCAACACATATATTTAACTTTCAAATCATGTACCTTCCAGCAGAACGAACGATCAAGAGTTTCTGCAGCGCAAGCTTTTTCCTGCAGAATTTTATTAGTAAGCATGGTGTACACTATTTCAAGTTTCGCCTTTCAGCATAACATGTAATTTGTCTAATACTCCTATTTGCTTTTAGTAAAAAGCCAGAATATTTACTTACAGAGACAAATTTAGTTGATAGAAGACCTTCAAAGTTCCTCAATTGAGGTGCAATCATCCTACATTAATTCTCTTAGTAGATCAACACAGGATTACCAAAATTATAAAATTTCTCAAGTACTGAATGATTAAACCAACTACTTCCGAATTAGAATGAAGATGAATCATGAAAAGGATTATAGCTAGATTTGAATGACAACAATTGTATATACAACTTACTTATTTGTTATATCAGCCTTCCTTCTACCAAGCGCAGGAGTATCAGTAGTGAGAATTATAGCCCTGAACCCATTACTCTCAGCTTGACGTACCATATGTTCTGTTATCTCTCTCTTGAGAGCCTTTTGACAATGAATAAACTATAAATCTCTATTTGTTGCAAAACATGAAAAATCAGTATTTACGTATGAAGATAATGAGAGTTGGGAATAATATCTTACAAAAGTCTGAATGAAGCGAACAACCTTGCACGTAAATGACAATCCCTGTATCCAAGAGAATTTAGCATCCAGACACCAGAATTCGATAAAATCTGTTTTTTTTTTCAGAAAATATTACCGCGATAACATCACGTGATGCAGCGCCTCTAGCTGTTGCGATTTCTCCTGGCATAAATATAACAGGTTTCTAGAATCAGTTAAACATAATTAGCGACTAAGGAGATACTCCCCGGTTTCAATTTGTTTCTCTTACTTTCCTTTTTAGTTCCTCTTTCCTTCTTTTGAGAACTCTTTAATTCTAACTTTCCACATGACATGTTTAAAACCACAAGATTAAAGATCTTTTGGTACATTCTACATATCTTTAGTTTAAGATCACAAGATACAAAAATCTTCTTTACTTTCTTAAATGTTGTGTCAAGTCAAAACCAGACAAATAAATTGAAATGAATGGAGTAATTGATATAGTACAACCTTCAGGGTGTGCAAATTTATGCATCATAGTTGGGGCAATCATAATAGGAGCTGATGTCTTGTGACCAAGTATAACAGTTGACATGTCTATTCTGCTCACATCAACAAGTATTCTTGGCCGGATTCTGAGTTTTTTGAAAATTAGTTAATAGTGATAGATATCTGTCCATGGCCAATTCAAGAGCAAGAAATTACAAACTTACATGATTCTACGAAATGCTTCGATGTTTTCTTCGAGTGTGTACTGGTCCTCAGCTCCTCCAGCAAAGAAGTCGTAGTACATATTTGGAAGAGCTTGCCTAGCTAGCTCTTCAAATTCATTCACATTAACTGGTTCACCTGCCATTTAGCCTGCACACACGAGCATTCATATGTTAAATTGTTCTTGTTGTAGAATTTTGGTCTTGTTTTGAGGGAAGAATTTAATGTTTTGAAGTATGAATATTAGTACCCGTAGGATACAGATAGTAGTTCACACTTCCAGTATCTCCACCTTCTTGTTTGTTATAATTTAGAAGCTCATAGATCAAATTAGCTGATAGCTGTAGTTGAACTTACAACTTTTGAATGCAGGGTCCATACTCACATATAGGCATAAGGGCTAAGGCTATTTCCCAAAAGTCCTTTTTTTTAGAACTTAGAAGCTCAATTAGCTCATAGCTGTGCTGAATTTAGAGAAAGCCTTTTAAATGCAGGGTCCATTCGGCTATATACCTACAGCTTCTAAGATATAAAACAAGAAGGTGGAGAAGCTGGAAAACTGAACTCCTTTCTGTATCCTACAGGTACTAAATATTTTTGCCTCAAAACCTCCGATTCTGCTCTCAAAAGAACCAAAATTCTACAACCAGAGTGATTTAATATACAAATGCTTGTGTTTGCAGGCTAATAAATGGCAGGTGAACCTGTTAATGTGAATGAATTTGAAGAGCTAGCTAGGAAAGTTCTTCCAAAGATATACTATGACTTCTTTTCTGGAGGAGCTGAGGACCAGTATACACTCAAAGAAAATATTGAAGCATTTCGTAGAATCACGTAAGTTTGTAACTTCTTGCTCTTGATTAGGCAATAGAGATCACAGCACTAACCTTTCAGAAACTCAGTATCCGGCCAAGAATACTTGTTGATGTGAGCAAAATAGACATGTCAACTATTATACTCGGTCACAGGACATCAGCTCCAATTATAGTTGCCCCAACTTCGTCGCATCAATTGGCACATCCTGAAGGTTTGGATAAAATCAATTAGTAAAAACTAGTCTGTTAGCTTAAGGTACCCCCACCGCGTAGTTCTTACTCCAAAAAGCTGTTGTATTTATGCCAGGAGAAGTTGCAACAGCTAGAGGTGCTGCAGCATGTAATGTTATAATGGTAATAGTTTAAGTTTGGTCAAAAACATACCTAAAGTATCTACTTTGAGTTTCATACTTGAACTATCAGGTGTGCAAGTTTCCTACCTGAACAATTACCAACTATTTATCAAACAACAATTCAATTATCAGGTAGGAATATGGAACATTTGATAGTTGAGGTATCATTGGATACATAGTTGGTGATAGTTTAAGTAGGAAACTTGTACACATGATATTTCAGTTATGAAACTCAAAAAACCAGGATACTTTTAGCTATAATATTTTTGACCCTTCCCTCTAATATTTTCTAAAAAAACAGATCTAGTTCGAATTCTGGTATGTGGATGCTAAATTCTCTTGGATGTAGGGAGTGGCATTTACGTCAACATGCACAATGGAGGAGGTTGCTTCAAGCTGCAAGGCTGTTCGCTTCATTCAGACTTTCGTAACTTATTACCCCCAACTCTCACATCCCGGTACATATTTACTGATTTTTGTGTTCTATAACAGATAGGTAAATTTTTTTTCTATGTAAATAGGCTTTCAAGAGAGAGATAACAGCAAATATGGTACAGAGAGCTGAACGCAATGGGTTCAGGGCTATAATTCTCACTGTTGATACTCCCAGGCTAGGTAGAAAGGAGGCAGTTATAAAGAATAAGTAAGTTGTATATACAATTGTTATCATTAAAGTCTAGCTAAAATCCTTTTCATGATTCATCTTCATTCTAATTCGGAATTATCGGTTTCATCATTCAGTACTTGAATTTTTTTTAATATAATTTTGGTAATCTATGTTGATAAAGAGAATTAATGCAGGATGATTGCACCTCCTTTCAAGAACTTTGAAGGTCTTATATCAACTGAAGTTGTTTCTGTAAGTAAAAGCTATTATTAGACAAATTACATGTTAAGCTGAAAGGCAAAACTTGAAACTCCTTAACGAAATTATCTTACTTTGCAGGATTACAATGTCTCAAATTAGCTAGTTCCTCCTACTATTAGCATTGGTTTTCTCTTTTATTTAGTTAAATGACACAATTTGCCATCGAGATATATACTTGAAAAATAGTGTACACTAGGCTTACTAATCCACAGATAAATTTCTGCAGGACAAAGGCTCAAATGTTGAAGCTTATGCTGCAGAAACTCTTGATCCTTCGTTTTGCTGGAAGGTACATAATTTAAAAGTTAAATATATGTGTTCCTTAATACCACATGAGATGATCATATGATGAAATACAGTCTTGGTCCTTGAATGCAAATTTTATTGAGGCTGTCAACATTTGTTAAAATATGTAAAATTGACGAGCTTAAAAGTACATTAGGGAAGGATCATATCTAGTTTCATAGTCTTCTGTAATCCTCACAATCTCCAAAAACTTTGCAGGATATAGCATGGTTAAAATCAATTACCAAGTTGCCAATTCTGATTAAGGGTGTTCTCACTGGTGAAGATGGTAATAATTTTTATCACTGAACCTTAGCTTAAGTCAACAGAAACTCTAATCAGCTCCATATGATTTAACATATATATACTATATAAACTTGATTTTGCGACTAAGTCTCACCAATTGAGCATTTCTTCCAAAGAATTTTTTCATACTATTCTTTGCAGCAACCAAAGCAATTGAAGCAGGAGTTGCAGGAATAATCGTCTCTAACCATGGAGCTCGGCAGCTGGATTACACTCCAGCTACTATTTCTGTTCTTGATGAGGTGATTTTCTTCCTTACATGTTTGATGTCCTCTTTTTAGCATGTATATTGGCCTCCACATATTCTTTCCTGAATGTCCAAATGGTTTCAGGTGGTCCATGCTGTTCAAGGTAAAGTTCCAGTTCTTTTCGATGGAGGAATTAGGCGAGGAACAGACATATTCAAGGCATTAGCACTAGGCGCAAAAGCTGTTCTGGTGAACTTAATGATTTACAGAAATGCATTTAACTTATATACTCTAAGAGTGTATTGAATTTAACTTAACATTTACACTCTACAGATTGGTCGACCAGTCATCTATGGTCTGGCTGCTAAGGGGGAGACTGGGGTAAAGCAAGTTATAGAAATGCTCAAGAATGAATTGGAGCAGACCATGGCTCTTGCTGGCTGCTGCACTGTGGATGACATTACCAGAAGCCATGTTTTTACAGAGACAGAAAGGTTCCTATGTAGGATGTAGTTTAATCCTATGTTCCTCTAAATAAACGGCTTATTAGCCCCAAACTCTACAATCATGTCACATCTTGCTTTCTAATAATCCTCTGTGTAGTGGCATTTCTGCTCCTCTCCAATAACTAAATCCTTGTATAGGATTGTGCTAATTTCCTTATGGTACCTGCAGTGGCGTAGCCACATACAATAAAGGTTCATCTGTTGAACACCTTTCATCAAAAAATTATACTTAACTGTATACATCAAAAGTTATATTCTATACATAAATATTAAATTTTAGTGAAATTTATGACTTCGTAATTAGGTACCTGCACTTTCCGGTGTGAGACACTTCATATTTTAAAATGTCAACTATATAGATTCTGGACCAACCACTCCCTCTGGTTGACACTGAAGGAAAGTAGAACACTATACACGCAAAGGCATTGAAATATATGCACCTATTTTAGATATATATAAAACTCAATATCCGCTATGAATGACCACACTAAACCAACAGGGGCATGGCAAGTGTTTGCTCATAGTCTTGAACTAACTTTTGTGGTTGAGTTAATCAAAAACTCATTTCTTTATTAGACTTCACCCTGTGTTACACCAGGGCCAATATCACATGAAATTAATCTTCTCTTGTACTCAAATCTTGTTCTGCATCATGTGTGGCAAGATTTGAATTGCTTTCCTGCAGTAATTTTGTAATAAAACTAGACTATTGTAATCCATTTGAATATCTTAATATCTGAAATCGATGCTTTAAATAGCAATATTGCAATTGAACAACATTACAAGCAAGATGTGACACAATTGTAGAGTTGGGGCTAGGCCATTTTATTTAAGGAACAGAGATTACATCCTACAAAGGAACTTCTCTTTCTCTGTCTTAACATGGCTTCTCGTAATATCATCCACAGTGCAGCAGCCAGCAAGAGCCATGGTCAGCTCAAGTTCATTCTTTAGCATTTCAATAACTTGCTTTACTCCAGATTCTCCCTTAGCAGCCAGGCCATAGATAACTGGTCGACCAATCTGCACAAATATACAAAAAATATTATTAAGACAATCAATGTATACGAGTTAAATCCATTTCTTTAAATCATTAAGTTTACCATAACAGCTTTTGCCCCTAGTGCTAATGCCTTGAATATATCTGTTCCTCGCCTAATTCCTCCATCGAGAAGAACTGGAACTTTACCTTGAACAGCTTGGACCACCTGAAACCATCGAAAATTAAGGAGGGATATATGGAAGTCAATGCACGAGCTAAGAAGATTCCAAATAACATATTTCAGCTTTCAATTCAAATGAGCTCGTAATTCAAACATGTGAGGAAGGAAATCACCTCTTCAAGAACAGAAATAGTAGCTGGAGAGTAATCTAGTTGTCGAGCTCCATGATTAGAGATGATAATTCCTACAACTCCTGCTTCAATTGCTTTCATTGCTGAGAAAAAAAAATAGTATATGCCAGTCAAATTGTAGGAAAATCTGAGGTTTTCTATGCAAACAGCTAAGGTTCAGTGATAATAATAGTACCATCTTCACCATTGAGAACACCCTTAATCAAAATTGGCAACTTAGTAATTGATTTTAGCCACGCTATATCCTGCAAAGTTTTCAGAGAGTGTGAGGATTACAGAATGATCATATTTGACTTAAACTCTATTTCTGCAATTTCACATATTTTAACATATTGTCGACACTCGAGAAATTTGAGTTCGTGTATCAAAGATTGTATTTAATCATATCTTCTAACGTGGTAAGTAATAAGGAACACACACATTTAACTTTTAAATCTTGTACCTTCCAGCAAAGCGACGGATCAAGAGTTTCTTCAGCATATGCTGCAAGATTTGAGCCTTTGTCCTGCAGAATTTTGTAAGTGGATTAGTAAGCATAGTCTACACTGGTTTCAGGGTTTTTTTTTTAATCAAAGCTGGTCTCAGGGACCATTTATTAGAAACTAAAAAGGAAACAACCAGATCATCTGGTCCAAAAACAATCTACTCTGTCCAAAAACAAAATACATAAATGAACAACCAAAGAAATGAAAAAAGAGTTGGTCGTCTTCAAGCTTGAGCTTCCATGGAGGATGAAGACGAGGTGCTGCCTTGGAGTGAAATCGAGCTGCCGCAACCAGCTGCGTTCGGTTCGTTTCCGTCCCACTGAATCCACACAGCTCGAACAACTTAGGTAAGAATCAATCTACTCCCTAATTCGCTTTTGATGTTGTAAACGATCCTTGAGCTCCATTTCTAAGTTTTACCCTTTCCTGCAGATTGAGTCAGAAACCCTAACTAATACCACTGCATAGGCCAGGTAATTCTTATTAATTTTGCTGAAGATCGTTCCTTTAAGTACACTACTTCACTGATGTTTAGATTTATATATCTTGATAAACCCAATATGCTTTCCTTTTCTTTGTGCTTTCACCTGAAATACTATTGTTGCTTGCCGCATTGTGCATTAGTATCATTATCACTGTAGCCATATTTTCTGTTTTGCATTTTCTGATTCTCAAGTTTGGGAATCCTTGAATGACTCCAATCTGCTCCATGGTCGGAAAAATCGACCTCTCCGATGAAGGTAGCAGTGAGAAGAGGATAGAAGATAGTTCAAATGCCTCCAATACATAGACATAGATTGAAATGGATCCGAATTTGGACAAATTTCACTCTGGACACTCAAAAACTCTCACAAGTGCCATGAAATAAGGTCCTTTGAAGACTTCTTCAACTCGGATTGATCCGATCTACCACAAAATGAAGTTGAATGAACAATGTTTTCTCCTCTTTCATCTTTGTGCACTGTTATACTTCGATTTAATTCATCCATGACCTTCTCTGCAGGCTGAGCCCCAAAGAGGCTGATACCACTGCATAAGGAGGCCACATATGAGTTCCATCTCCGCATAAACAATTACATCCACTTATGCAAGTATGCAGGTACTACCATCGCCTTTTGATAATTCTTTGTCATCCATGTCTGGTTGTTCTTGTTTGTCTCAATTCTGTTTGTGTATTGAAACCCCTGTTTTGGATGTTTCGAATTCTAAGATTGGGAGTTTGTGTTTTATCTAGTGGTTTCAGGAAAATATATCTATCACGAGTTGATTTCTTAGGGTCACTCAACTAATACTTATTATCTAAAAATGTCACATTCTCTGTTAAAGAAAATTGGAATGAAGAAGAAAGTGACTTTCTGAGATAATAACTATTACATGAGTGACCATTTGAGAAATTAACCTTATCTACTATAGATAGCAGAATTTTTTATGGTTTTACTTACTGAAACAACATCAGTTGATATAAAACCTTCAAAATTCCTCAGCCGAAATGATATCATCCTGCAATTCCCACTCTTAGTAGATTAACACAGTATTACTAAAAAGAAATTTTCTTTAAGTGCTAAAATGGTGAAACCGACTTATTCCAGATTAGTATGTAAAGAATTCAGGCATAAAAAGATCTATAACTTACTTATTCTTTATATCAGCCTCCCTTCTGCCAAGCCTTGGAGTATCAGCAGTGAGAATTATAGCCCTGAACCCGTTGCTCTCAGCTCGACGTACCATAAATTCTGTTACATCTCTCCTTTTGTAAACCTATTGACGAAGAATAAATTACCTATCTGATAACAGAACACAGAATATATAACAATGATCAGAGTTTGGGATAATAAGAGTTACATAAATTTGAAAGAAGCGAACAGCATTGCAGCTTGAAGCAACCTCCTCCACTGTGCATGTAGACATAAATGACAGTCCCTATATTCAAGAAAACTCAACATCTATGTTGAAACATATTATAATTAAGTAATAACAACGTAAGCTTTTCGATGAGGCGGTCATACAATATCAATAATCCACGAGTTAATTTCTCAAGAAGTCACTCAACTAATAGTATTATCTCAGAAAATCACTAATCTTCTTGATTTCAATTTTTCTTCAACAAAGAAAGTGACTTATGAGATAATAATTAATTAGTTAATGATCATCTGAGAAATCATCTTAACGCTCCACACACCAGAATTGAAAACAGATATTTTACCATGATAACATTACATGCTGCAGCACCTCTGGCTGTTGCAACTTCTCCTGGCATAAATACAACAGCTTGTTGGAGTAAGAACTGCGTGGTGGGGGTACCTTAAGCTAAAAGACTAGTTTTTACTAACTGATTTTATCCGAACCTTCAGGATGTGCCAATTGATGCGCAGCAGAAGGGGCAAGTATAATTGGAGCTGATGTCTTGTGACCGAGTATAACAGTTGACATGTCTATTCTGCTCACATCAACTAGTATTCTTGGCTGAATACTGAGTTTCTGAAAGGTTAGATCTATTTTGCCAAATTAATCAAGAGCAAGAAATTACAAACTTACGTGATTCTATGAAATGCTTCGATATTTTCTTTGAGTGTGTACTCATCCTCAGCTCCTCCAGCAAAGAAGTCATAGTACATCTTTGGAAGAACTTTCCTAGCAAGCTCTTGAAATTCATTCACATTAACTGGTTCACCCGCCATTTTAGCCTGCACACACGAGCGTTCGTATGTTAAATTCATCTCATATAGTTGAACTTTGTATTCAATATATCCCTCAAGTTTGTTTAGGAATAAAAATCAATTTAGCTAAACAAATAATTACTCTAGAACACAAACTCAAGATCAAAGGATAGCAATATATAGGATCAGCTATATTGCTCAGACTCTTCAAAAGTAATCAAAACTGTCAAGGGGTGAGCAACATAGGGAAGAGTAACATGATAAGGAACTAAGCCATAATAATTTTCAGATTCAGATATCACATCATGTGATCGATTTGACGAGTAAACACTACTCAAATCAACAAACAGCAAAAACAAAAATTGTAAAAGCAAATGTTGAGATATTAGTAAAATAATTAATTAAAAGTAAAGGCGAATTGTTCTATGTTCAATTCTCACCATCACCCAAAAGCAAAAACATATTTTCAGTTTCCACAGGTAGGTACAGATCTATCTAAAGTTGATGTTACGGGTTTGGCAGAATCTAGTAGCTTTAGTGGTGCTAACATATCCAGTTAAGTTAAACTAAAAATCCAGATCCAGTTGTCATTCATAAACTTAAAATTTCGAATCTGTCTATGTGTTAACAAGTACATATGGAGAAAACAGAAGTTTAGATCAAAATTTAATTAAATTTTGGAAGTAAAAACATTGAATACCTGTTGTATAAAAAACAGAGAAGAGTTGAAGTTCACTGCTCAATTAGCTAATGGCTGTAGTTGAACTAGAGAATTATAGTTCACTGTAAATGATTAGCATGATTCAAGATTACAATAATCAGATAGTAGGAGGAATATCTAATTTAGGGAGAAAGTGGTAAGTAATAAAGTTTCCACTTAATACAATTGAAACTTACGTGTATAATTAAGATAGATACATATTTTGTATGATAACTGAACTATTTTGAGTCGAACGTTTTTAATATGAATATTATATTATGTGTTTAAATGCTCAACTAAAACATATTGTATTTCAAATGTATAAATAAAATTTTATAATAATTTAAGACTGTCGATGTATTAAGTCTAAAATATATGAAGGTCAATTTAATAAAAAGGGTTCAATTACA